ATATATATATATATATATATTACCGAGATACAGAACCACTGCAAGAATCAATCAACAAACGAAAGAAGAGAAAGAGCACATACCAATAACGAACTGATTGGCAACGAGAGCAGACCTTGGTGCTGTGATTCCCACAGATGGCGCAAGAAATCCGACCGGAATCCATCGGAATCGCAGTCATGGTTTGATCCCTATCGAAATTGGCGTTGACTTCGAAGTACTTCGACGCTGTATTCTTGATCAAATAAAGCACCGCGAACGCTACGATGAAGAGAGTGATTATCAATTGCAGGAACCAATTGGGATCCACTGTTATGCCCCCGACATGCATCTTCACAGCTTCGTCCTGGATCGCGATCCTAAGGTTTTTCATGGATTAACTTAGACCCCCACCCTCCACACTTTTTTATACTACTATTTCGATTTCTTACATGTAAAGAAATTGCCCTATTACTAATTTTATTTACAGTGATAATGATTATTATGACTTTAATTTTTGAAAAAAAATGGAAAACAAAACTTCTAGTACCCAAGATTTTTTATTTTATCAGTATGCCCTTCAACTTATTGCATACTTAAACATTTTTTATATGATTTGAGTTACGTGATAGATAATTTTATATGATTTAATATGTTAAAAATTTGGATAATTATTCATGCACTTATTGGTTTGACACTCAGTGGGTGCACACTCTTTAAAATGAATAATTACAAAAATAAAATTATAAATTTACCCTTAAATCCATTTTTTTCCCCACAATACCCATTTTTCTTCTTGTCTCTCCATCTTCCTCTTCAGCCGTTCAACACCAATTTCTCAACTTTCTTCCCCCTCCCTCTCTTTTTACCTATTGAAGCAAAAAAGTTCTTTAACACCTGGGTTTGTGAAAAACCCAACACCAAATAAGAGGAATAGCAAACCACAAACCAACAAAGAAAATGGAACTACAAAAAAAAAAAAATAGATTACCAAAAATGAGTTACTGTTCTGAACACAAAATCAGAACCTATAAAGCCAAATGAAAAACTGACCGTTCAAAATGTAGATTAATGTCTCTTGAAAATCCAGACAAAATTTCAACTCAATCCAACGGTGAAATTTTACAGATTGGATAAAATAGCAAAACTACGTGCAGTATCAAAACTGCAGAGATTTCCCATGTTTTCTTTTCTCTTTTCCGCCTATTGACTCCACTTACATGCACTCCACTTTTTGCTATATCATCCCAAAAACAGACTTGTTTTATGTGTCTAATGAACTACAAAATCATAAGCTAAATTGAGGATGATTTTATGAGAAAATGAACTCTTTCTCAAAATTTGGTGTTGTTGTCATTTGGGAAATTAATTTCCATTGATTCGGTGTTGTTATCATTTAGGAAACTTTAAAATTTTTGAATTATATAATGAGAAACAATTTTTCCTCATCTCTTTAATCACTTTGCCTGCATGCTATGATACTCAAATTTAGAAACTTTTACTTTTATACGAAAGAGATTATTATTAAATTAGTTAGATAATTACTTGTAATACTCCTATTTTAATATTTGAATTTGTATACTCAAAGCTTCAAAGACACAAAGTTTCAATGACACAAAGTTTGGTACCAAGCGAGTGTCAATCTATCACTCTTTTGATTATAAAGGAATCATTAACACAATAGGAAAATTTACTTTAATTAAGATGTGAGAAAAGTTTTTTTATAGGTTGACTTTGTAAATTCTTTTAAGAGGATCTGTTTAAAAATTTATATTCTAATTAATATTTTAAAAAGTTAACTGTTGGATTAAAAATTATATTCGTATAAATCATGTAAGTCAATTTTCATATTATTTTAATAGGCTTAATTACTTTGTTAATTGTATAAAATTTAATATTATTAAATATATATATAAATAGAGTTTTTTTTTATGAAAAGATTATAAGTATTATATCAAAATAAAAATTGATATGCATAATCTACACAAATAAAATTTTTAATTAATAGTTAAAATTTTAAAATATTAATTAAAATGTAAGTTTTTAAACAAGTTTTTTACAAAAATTTTGAAAAGACTATCTACTTTACACTAACTTTATATATTTGTTTAATTAAGTGGAGTAAACTATAAGTTTAATATAAACATGTAACAATGTAATTTGAAAAAATAAGCATTTAGAATTGGGTCTATATATGGATCTGAGGCTTAAGAAGATGAGGGGCTTAATTTGGGACAAAAAATATAGTTTCAGAGCTGGACGAGAGCCTGAGATAAAACAAAAAGTTTAAAAGGGCCAGTACAACTGTTTTCCTGGAAAAGTTTTCCACTACTAATATTGGTGAGCGTGGTGATGTAGTCACGGGCGGTGAGAAATGCAAGATGACTGCAAATAAGGGAGGAGAGCGTGTGAGTGTGAGTTGGGGTGTGTCGTGGTTTCCTGTTCCTTCTAGAATCTCAGATTAACTTGGAGAGTCGGGGTACCAATAACTGTCAAAAAAAAAAAAAAAAAATCTTGGAGAGTCGGGGTGTGTGTTGGTGTCGGTGTGGCGTCCGCATGTAAAGCATCCGCATGCTGGGGTTTGGAATTATTCTCTCCTTGTACTTGCCAATCGCCACGTGGAGCGACTAGTTCGGTTTATGATTGGTTTATAAAAATTTAAATTTACCCATCGAAGATGGGTAAATTTGAAAATTATCTTACAATTAATATAAAATTTTAAATTTATTTATATAAAAAAATATTATGTGATTAGAATTATATCAAATTATATAATTTAAATTATTAAATAAGAGATGAGTTTTATAATAATGATAATCCTTTATTTATTTATTTATTTATTTTTTGATGTTGAGGTGGGATTTGAGCTCTATATTGTAGTTTGAAGTCCCTTAACAAAAGAAAGATGGCCATTAAGTGACAATGATGTTTTCAATGAGAATTTTTTATTTAATTATTTATATTCTATAATTTGACATAATTTATAGGTTAAATCTCCATTTTGGTCCCTCAACTATCGTACGGATCCCCGACTTAGTCCCTTAACTCAAAAAATCTTTGATTTGGTCCCTACTGTTTACCATTTTTACCCCGATTTTGTCCCTCCGTTAAAAATCCATTAAAAATCCAGTAACGTGTCATTGATTAACAAAAGCATGATGACATGTCAACAATAGAGTGACACCTCAAACGCACACTTGGAAAAAAAAAGGACAGGGCAATATGACCCATTTTGCCCCAAAACCAAACAAGAAAAAAAAGTGGGCCCCACCTCCTGCAAAACCTAAACCCTTCTCCCCCTTTCTTCCCTAAACCCATTCGAACCTAGAACAATGCTCTCCAGTTCCTCAGCAAGCATCCACAGAAAAAAAAAAAAAGAATTTTTTTATTTTTCCCTTTTCCCAGTTCCCAGTTCCTAGTTCCTCATCTTGCCTTACTTGCTTCATCATCATCAACCAACCAAATCCACAGAAAAAAAAAAAAAAGAGAATTTTTTTTATATTTTTTCTCTTGGGTTCGATTGAACCCAGGCTCTGGGTTTCGAACGAACCCAGGCAGCTTGGGTTTTGAACGAACCCAGGCTCTGGGTTCGATCAAACCCAAGACGCTTGGGAAACCCAAAGCCTGGGTTTGTTCGAAACCCAGGCTCCTTGGGTTCGTTTGAAACCCAGAGCTTGGGTTCGATCAAACCCAGGCTCTGGGTTTCGAACAAACCCAGTGCCTAGGTTCCATTGAGACCCAAGCCCTGGGTTCCTTGGAAGCCAGGACGCCGGGGTTCGAAGGAACCTAGTAGGCGTTGGGTTGCAAGGGGAAAGGAAAGGGAAAGAGAAGAAAAAGGAAAAAAAATAATTTTTTAAGTTTTTTATATATTATTAAATAATTAAATATATTTAATATTAAAAATTTATATAAATTAAAAACATTAATTATTTAAATGATACATTAAATTATATAAAAAATAATACAAAAATGTCATTTCAAAATTATTTCTCATCTTTCTTTCACTTTGCTCCGAAGCACAGCCCACTCAGCAGCTGCCACGTTCTCAATAATTTTTTTTTACAATGATAATGAATAAAAAATTAATATAAATTAGTTGTTAGTAATTAGAGATTCGATTATCAAATTAAGTGAACATTTCATCCCCTCAAATAAAGCATGCAACTATCATGCTGCTTTTTTGTGGAGTTTATGACGGTAGTAGAGTTTGAAATTTCAACCCCCTTATTCAAACATTTAATGCGTAGAGTCAAATTATTGATCTTAAAGGCCCGGTTCACGTTATAAGCAGGAAACAATTTTCATAGATACTAGTGTTTACTTTTTCGTCCGCAAAATCATCATACCAACCAAAGTAATAACGCAAAAGACTTATGAAATCTTCTCAATAAAACTAATCAACCGCCATTGGCATCCCTGGCACATAGCAGAAAAAAAAAAAAATGCTAATCCATGAATGACCAGCCAAAAAGCAAGCGTCTCGACTAGTCGACTGTGTTAAAAAAATCCAATTTTTTGTTTTGCGATTGGTTCATTTTTTGCTTGGATTTCTGTGATCTTTGGACCAGTGGGATGCATCACGTTAATCAAAATTCCGTAAATATTAAACTAATCCCTTCATTAGGGATGCTGTCTAGCTCAATCTATCTCTCCACGTTCAGTAAGTAAAGGGGGGTTTACTTAATGAGTTGGTTTAGCATCTTCATTTCTATTGCCGGAATTATTAATTATTTAATATAATAAATAAGTTTAAACTCTTAATTAAAAAAATATATTATGTAATATTGATTTTTATCAAATTATATAATATTGATCATTAAATGAAATAAACTTTTTGATGTTATGAATTTTTTTTACTTCTAATAGTTCTTATTTCGTAATTTATTGCAATATAAATTTAAAATAAAATACTGTAATATATCTTTTTTTCCCCTCAAATAAATCAAAAGACTCTACTCTCCATACTAAATTGAAGATTTTATGTTAATCAAATATTATTCATACTCTTATTAATGTTTAGCACATTCATTCTTCATCATAATAGTATGTATTCAACACAACCATGTCCTCCTCTTCCCTACATTAACATTGGAAGTTAATTACTTCGACAACATCTTAAAACTTAAAATTTTAATTTTCAATCTGAAATTTCAATCTTTTTTTTCACCGGAGAAAATTTTAACTATGATTTGAAGTTAGAGGCTGTTAGAAACACAGGGCAGTGCTGAAACTGTGTTGGCAAGCACGCCCTCACACCACCTCTTCTTCCTCTCCACCACCTTTGAGTCCCCCACCAAACCGGCAAATTCTGCTTACCATTTTAATGAATTCCCCTTCTTCGTATAGTTTCTCAAAACACAAAATTGATTGTTTCTGCTCGATCTTCAATTCTACATATCA